CAGCTTTTTGTAATTAGTAGGATTCTTATAGCTAATTATGTTAGGTTACTTCGCGTTTTGATCATGTAATTGTTGTATAGACCTCTGCAGTGAGATGATAAAGATTATATGTGCTTAAAGCATTTTGTAGGCATCTTAATGATTAACTGGGTAGGGTAGCTTTGGCTTAACCTTACTTCCTCTAAGATTTTAGAGTCATTACACGTGTAAAAGTGACATATATATCTCTCGGTGTTGATGCATGAAAATCCAGTTGTGAAATTTATACGTATGTATGATCAGAAATTAATCATGTATAGATTATTCTTTTTAAAGTAATCACATATGTATTATTAAAATCCTTAACATGAGGTGAGCAAGTGATCATATAGTGCAATCCTCAACAAGAAAATAATGTAGACGTATAGACTATAGCCAATGTGGTAGCTACATCGATCTGCATATGACTGCAAAACGAGTGATCGAGTGAAAATAAAACGTTAACTACAAAATTCATATGTATGAACACGGTGACTCTCATGGGATTTAGTTGTCTGGGTGTTAGGTATGTATGTATGTACCACTCATACCAGGCAGCACATCGTGGTTGACCAGAAAACCGATACGTGTCCTTGATGCACCAGTGGTCGGCGAGTCCACAGCTTGTACGGTGCAAAGTACCCTTTCATCTTTGACAAGGGATCCTCTTCGGATCTTTTTCTCTTAATTTATCAAATTAAAAAATCTGCGCCGTTGAAATTTGATTCAACGGTTACAAATAGGGGCCCATTTGAAAAGTTATAATAATTTCAACCGTTGAACCAATTTTCAATAGTACAGATTTTCTGATTCGATGGATTAGAAGGAAAGAATCCGGAGAGGATCCTTTCCTTCATCTTGCTTATGCATGAAGATCCGAAATTGATGACAGTTGGACGTGACGGTGTTATGTCTGATTCACTTTTATTTTTCAGTAATTAAATGTTAATTAGCATATAGCTAGGGTTTTAATTATACAGACCAAATAATAATGTATTACTGAAACTTGAAGTTTAGAATTTAGAACTTTTGAGGTTCGCGGTGGTTTTTGACTTATTAGGGTGTTCGAAAACAAATACAAAACAAAACTATAAAACAACTGCACAGTATATAAGGACGAGGTTTGTTGAGTGGTTCCTCTTTCTGACAAACACGTTGCCAATTGCAAAATGTGAGTTCTACAAAACTATTTTATGTTCATTTTACAGGTGCCAAACTAATGATATATATTTTAACATCTCCATATCCAAAAGGAAAAGGAAGAAAATCTAGATCGGTTTGCGTTTAGATTACACTGAGATCTCATTCGGGTTTGTTAGAATATTAATCTTTAACACACTTATTGTTGATTGTGTGACTCGTATTAACACATAAATGACGGTGAAACCTCAATTATTTGCCTCTCATGGTTTCTGTTGAATTAGATTCGATTCGTCAATACATTCAATGTACATTGATATAAAATACGATATTAATTTTTAAATTTTGTTCAAGTTGAAGCTAGCTACAAGATGAATTAGACATGATGAATAATTTTTTTTTTTTTTTCACATTGGTAGGATCAAAAGCGAAAAGTTTTTTTTTATATGTAATTCATTTTCTACCTTCAATTTAGACAAAATTAAAAGTTTGATATCTTTTTTTACTTTAATATACATTGAAATATGGTACTTATCCAAACCAAACGAGAACACAGGACACTGACTTTGAAACTTTCCATGTTAGCTTACGCCACGATAATTGGTGATTGCATAAATAAAACAATTTAGTGTGTCGAGGTCACTACTAAATCTAACTTTCATTCATGAGTGACAACTAACTAGGAAATTCATCCCAAAAACAGAAATGGATAATGTTAGGGAAATTAAATTTGTAAACTAAATTTTGTACATCAAATGATGTGAACGTTGATGATTGGATAATTAACTAAGTGTTGATTAACGTACTTATTTTTTATTAGTGACACATCATTTGGTTTACAAATTCTGTTTAAAAATTTGGTTTCTCTAACATTACTCAAACTAAATGGTTCAAAAATCATCATATGATACACTCATTTAACTTGTTCAAAAATGATATGGTGTACAGCTTTAACTAAGGGGAGATGACGCTCTACAAAATTATCATGCACTCCTCTTAATACAAGCAATAAGAGAAAAAAATAGTGTTTTAATATTCATACAACTGATTTTACTTAGTGAAATAAGGTTTTGATATTGTGATGATTATATTGATCTCACTTAATGGTATAAGACTTTATTGTTGTGAGCAGACCCCTAAAGCAACATTTTTAGGTTTTCCGTACAGAGTTATGCATTGAATTCATGAACAAGCTGCGTAAACCTAGCTGTCAATTGGGTGATAGTACGTATTGTCTACTGGTATATGATATTTTACTATTCATACGCTTTTGCTGTGGACTACTTTCCGACACACATGCATACATACATATATATACATACATACATATATATACATACATACATACATACATATATATATATATATATATATATATAAGTAGGGTTTTTTCGGCTACGCGTTTATGCACTCTGCATGGTCATTCTAAATTTCTACGTATGCATGCAATAAATTAAATAAACTTTGATTCCAAGCTTTAGAAATAATTATGGATCAAACTTAAAAATATTGAACTAGTAAAAGCCACTTAAAAGAATCCTTTTGTTGGCCATTGAAGTGCAGATTTTCAAAAGTTGTATGTCCAATGGCAAGCAAAAGTAGCACACAAATTTAGCTTCATTATCCACGGCAACAGCATACTGTTTTACTTTTTTTTATTCCTTTCCTTTTCGGTTCAAAAGAAATCACTCAGATTTGGAAATCACAAGTTTTTCTGTCTTTTAAACGTACGTTAAATTGTTTTTTAAATACATCAGCTGAGTCATTGTGTATACATAGTAGACACAAAGAGTTATTAATGTTTTACTAAGGGTAGCCTTTTACTAATTATTAATATAGGTATATATATACACACACACAAACACAAATATCCTTGTTAATTTTTCTTTCTTTAAAGGATAATGCTAGGTATATGCAGTTTTTATATAAATGCAAACCATATGTTGTGTCAATGTCACCAGTAGAAAATATAAGCACGTTAATTAATATTTAAGTAATAATTCAATCATCAACAATCACATCATATGATTTATAAAATATGATTTAAATAACTAGTCACTTTAGCATTACCCTTTTTCACACACACACACACATATATATATATATATATATAGTATGTCGCACTGATTAATTATAGTGCGATATAAAGTAGTTCGTTGTAATTAAATAAGAAATGTTTCGTACCAAAATGCATGCACATATACATATATATTTCATATATGTATATTGCAGACAGACAGCCTATATATAAACGCTTTAGTTTTGTTTCCTTGGACAGATAATATATATACTGTTTCTTGTATATGTGGGAACTAAACAAAACACAAGCTTTAGACTTTTCAAGGAATTTTTTTTGTTATTAACTCATCAAACCCCTTTTGCATTTTGGTATTTTCAAGTCAACTTGTAGGACATAGCTCTAACTATAGAAGCGAATGCATGGAAGTTTCAAAGACTTTGAACTTTCACTTTCGAATATACACGTATATAGAACAAATTCAATAGAGACCAATATAATTAACACAACAATCCAAATTAATCATGTCCAACAACTCATCATATCCATCCAAAACACTACACATGTGAACACACATCATCCATATCAAACTAACTAATTAAATGCCAAGTAGCTAGCTCCCCTCTAATTAATCACCATCACAACATACGTATGAATAGATAGAGGAATGCATTTGTACTCATCACCCTCAAGTGGTGGTAATATACTCACCGTTTTATTTATCACTATTAGATGAGTTTAAATTTTAAAATTTGTGTTAATCCACTATACAAATCTTGAAATTTAAATTCATCTAACAGTGATAAATAGGGTGGTGAGCAAAAATATTTCTCAGATAGATGTGATGTTATTTGAACACACGTGTTAAGACTAACACAAACGAAACTTAAATAACAGTAGGGTCAACCTATATTAGAGCATGTATTAACAAGTGTGTCACTTTTGTATTTCCAAGTAATTTTACTTTTAGATATATATAAGTGAATTCTATCTTCTAGTAAACCCTTTGGTTTATATGCAGCGAATTAAAAGCTTGCGAGTTAAGCAACGTTACCCATATTACTTGGAGGTACCACGATTCTATATAATGACATAAGTGCTGGCGACTATATGTGAGAGTCAATCTCACTTTGTAAATTGACTATGATTTCAAGTGAAAATGACACATATATAGACAATAAATTATGTGATAGCTTTCATGATGTATATGAGAATTGTCTTACGCGTATATTGAGATTGTTCAAATTATGATGAAGTCAAAGACTTAAAATATTACTAGTCTGCTAGATGGATTCACATGAAAAAGAAAATAGTAATTAAGATAGTGGATATTAATCACAACAAATTTTGAACTTTTTATACTAATTCCTTAAGTGATAGTATTTATAATTATATGTTTATGTATATGTAACTTCATCATGAACTTTTTATTTTAATCTTTTTAGAACGGGTAATATGTTGTTATATTTTGTCATTTGCAAAACCATTTAAATTTATATTTTGTCATTTGTATGTACTTTTGGTCACATATCAGATTTGCCTACTTGGTCAAGTATCAAAATTATGAATTCTTACAATTTCTCAGAAAGAGGGGAAGAAGGAAGAAAAACAAACAAAACATAAAGTTTTATTTTTTGGTAAAACAAAATTTAAAGGAAAAAGAAAATTCTTTCAAATTTTGGTTCTTTTCCCAGTAAAATCCCCAAGTCCACGTGGTTGGAATGGGAAAATGGACTCTCTCTATCTCTCTCTCTCTCTCTCTCTCTCTCTCTCTCTCTCTCTAACCTGTGATGTTCCTATATATTATGCATCAATGGAAGGGAGAGTTTGAAAAGCACAAGAGCTTTGTACAGCAAGGAAGGAAGAGAGAAACCAACTCTTCTTTTAATCCACAAGAACCCTTTCAATCCAAACCAAACCAATCCAACTCTCTCACTCGCCATTCAAATTCAAAACCTTCGTTTCTATTTTTACACAAAAATCTCTGTCTGCTCTTTCGTTGGCTGCAAAATCCTCCTTTTAAGGTAAGCATGCGCCCTTTAATTCTGTACATAATTTCGCATTTCGCTCTTCTTTTTCTACTTGTATTGTCTGTTTGCTGTTTGGTAAAATGAAGTTAGAAATGGTAAAAGTTTCTTTCTTGGGTGAAGGTTTGGGTCTTTATGATGTTTTGATGAAATGGGTTTCTCTGGGTTTGCTCGAGTTCATGGAAATGTGCTTGTTCTTCAGTGATTTTTGTTTGAGTTTGAGTTACCAAGTAATGGATTTTGGGGATCCTGCTCCTTGCTTAATGGGTTTGTATGCAAAGTTTGATCCAATAATGCAAAGGATTATTCACTAAATGTGGATTCATGGTCTTTTTCCATGGGTTATGCAGAAGCATAAAATGATACCTCTTGTTCTTCAATTGTTTGCACATTGACAGATTTTACCTTATAGGCAATGCTATTAGGAGAAAATAGATAATGCAATTGCATCTGGATGTGTATGTTTCGTTACCTTTTCGGTTGTATGCTAAATCTTCTCATAGGCTATAGGTTTTGTGGATCGAAGTTCTTTTCATGGTGGGATAATTTAACTGCATGTTTACACCGATAGCAGCTTGATTTACCTTCATTCATGCTTTTTTGCTGTATGATGGATTGTCTGATATGAAATGTTCACTAAACCTCATTTATTTTGTTCTCTCAGGAGTCCGAGTTGTCTGGGTTGCTAAAACAGCTTTCACTGTCGAATGGGGATTTCCTTTTCTTGCCCATTTTCGCAGTACGGTGATTTGGAAAGTCGGTTAGAATCAGTCATTGTAAGGTCTATCAGCTTTGGACACGATGAAGTTAAAACTCCGGTTAGATCAGTTCGTTTCAATAGTGGTGATGCAGAACCCACAATAATGAAATCCTTAGGTTCGGGAAAGATGACACTTGAAACTTCTGTTAGCTTTAAAGGGAGAGAGTTAGAGAAAATGATGTTGCACAAGGCTCCTTCGTTAGAAAAGAGCAAGAACGATGCATCAGTCAGCCCTTTCAGCAAAGAAATGAACGTTGCACCAATCAGCCCCATTAGAAAAGAGACTGACATTCACTCCCCAAGATCAGATAGTCCTCTGGGGATGGTCCGGCCCTCGCAACTTTTGGATCCCGCCAGCCCCAAGCACATGGCCGCAATTAAATTGCAGAAGGTATACAAAAGCTTCCGAACCAGACGAAAGCTAGCAGATTGTGCAGTTCTTGTTGAACAGAGCTGGTATGCATTTCATTATCATGTGCTAACTAATCTTTCCATTTTATCAAAAAAAAAAAAAATTAATGTGCTTTTATCTTATTAATTTTAAATTCTTTGAAATAATGTAGGTGGAAGCTATTAGATTTCGCTGAGCTCAAGCGGAGTTCTATTTCATTCTTTGAAATCGAGAAACATGAAACTGCCATTTCGCGTTGGTCTAGAGCAAGGACCAGAGCCGCAAAGGTAAAATTTTAACAGATTACTATACTTCACTGTTAAGTTTCTCATAATTTTTTCAGGAAAACTAAGAATTTCTTTGTCACTGCAGGTTGGAAAAGGTCTATCAAAGAATGAAAAAGCACAAAAGCTTGCTTTGCAGCACTGGCTTGAGGCGGTAAGTTGATTGCATTTGACTCTTGATTTTTTTCTTCTTCTATCTGTTATGACTCATGAGCCATTACTGATCTCGATTCTTTGTTATTGATTAAAAACAGATTGATCCAAGGCATCGGTACGGACATAACCTACACTTTTACTACGTTAAATGGCTTCACTGTCAGAGTAGAGAACCGTTCTTCTACTGGCTAGACATAGGAGAAGGGAAGGAAGTAAATCTTGTTGAAAAATGCCCTCGATCGAAACTTCAACAGCAGTGTATCAAGTACCTCGGACCGGTGAGCCTTTATGTTCTTATTGATGATCATTTAATCTGTTTCTTCTCCAATTTTGTTACTGATTTTTATTCTTCTCAAGTAGATGGAAAGAATGGCCTATGAAGTTGTTTTGGAGGATGGAAAATTATTCTTCAAGCAATCAGGGGAGCTCCTCCATACAACCGGAGAATCCGATGGTGCCAAATGGATTTTTGTCCTCAGTGCTTCTAGAACCTTATATGTAGGCAAGAAAAAGAAGGGGACATTTCAGCATTCAAGTTTTTTGGCTGGAGGAGCCACATCTGCTGCTGGGAGATTAGTTGTTGAACACGGTATCATTAAGGTATGGCTATAGTACAAAAACTCGTAAAATCTTCGTACTCCTTCCGTACATACCATCGTTTTGATGGCAGAGATTGACATATTGTCATTGTTTCTAACGTTGATTTCTTGTTAATTTTGTACAGGCAGTTTGGCCTCACAGTGGTCACTATCGGCCTACAGAAGAAAATTTCAGAGACTTTCTTTCATTCCTTGAAGAGAACAACGTGGATCTTACAGATGTTAAGGTATAAATTAAGAAAAATAAAACTTTATATTCTTTTACTACGATTTAATAGGTTTCAAGAGAAAATTAGTGGAAATCTTTATACTAATAATCCCGCTTTTCTGTTATTTTCAGTTAAGTCCTGTTGATGAGGAAGAGAGGGTTCGCTTAGCAAGAAAAGAAGCAGTGCTCATATTAGATGCAACTCATCTGAGGAGGACTTGCTCCCAAATGTATGTGATTTAAAGACTGAAGAGACTATTGACGACTAGGACACTGATTCAGTAGGACAAGCTGCTGCAATCGACTCTCATATGTCAAGCCGGCCCCACTGCTTTAGCAGAAAATTGTCTAATCTTGCAGTACGAAACAGGGAAAGGTATTTGGAGAAGGTAGAGAGCGCAACTCAACCTGCTGGTTCAAGTTGCAGCGGTATTCCAGTAGAAAATCCAGTTGATGGTTATGAAACGGTGGATGAAACTCTCCCATCGGAACAGGATTACATGGTTTCAAAGAAGAACCTATTTGAAGAAAACCATGAGGAGAAGGAGGAAGAAGCGGTTCCTCAAGAATCAATTCTCAAAAGGATTAACTCACACAAGGGAATGGAATCATTCAACTTGGAAGGCAGTTATCATGCAAATGGACAACGGGAGCTGGACCTCGCATTGGTTGTGTGAGGGACTATCCCTCGGAGCTCCAGTTCCGAGCACTGGAGCACGTGAACTTGTCTCCACGAAGTGCTGCCGGTTTGAGGTCATACTTCTCTCCTCAGATCACCAGTGCGTTGAGTCCAAGGGTGTTGACACCCACAAAATGTGTTGGGGAGGTGGAAGCACTCGTAAGCTCCCCGGCACTTAATTGAGAGAGTAAGGTTTTCTTCAAAAAGCATTAGCCTTCCTAGAACTCAGTCCTTCCAACTTTTTACGGGAAGTAGAGCAACCGCCATTGCTAATGTCTCATGACTGAAAAATATAGATTCATTTATTCTTTTGTGTATAGAAAATATGATAAAGCAACAATTTTGTTTGTTCATGCCTTCATCTTGTAGACTTGTACAAAAGGACATGGAAAAATCCTAGAATATTGGTGGGTTTGATTCCCTTTTAATTCTAATACAATCAAGATTCAATTTTTTCTTCATGTACTCTCAACCTCGTCACAGACATTCCCTACTTCTTGCACTTACTATATTTTCTAACCGTATTTGTACCACTTCTTAGAGGCATGGCTCACCAACATATGTGGATCTCATCTCTAATAGAGAGATGGTATAAATATGGTAAGAGTAGCATTTTTACTATTTGAAGATCACAATACTTGATGATAGTAAAGTGAGAATAATCCTTCAATATCACTGAGGAGTTTTTAACACGGGCTTTAATTGAGTTAGGGTTTTGTTTAATTTCAATTTCATTTTTTGGATTTCGTTTAAAATTTTGATTTCAGTCTCATTAGTTTGATTCCAATTCAACAAATTTGTGCAACGTAGAGTTTTCTGAATAAAGGGTTGATCTTTGAATTGGGGCTCTTGTGTTTGTTGCTGTTGCTTGACAGACACATAAAAATCTAAACCTTTAGCTTTATGTGATGGTGATTGCTTGCTGCAAATATGATAGGCAGCGTGGAAAAAAAATGAAGACCCAGTCATTGGTTTACTTTTCCTCAGTTTTCGTTTGGGAAGACGTTTGTGCTGTTTACCTCTTTCCTCTCTTTTTTTTTTTTTTTTTTTTTTTGTCAAACGAAAAAAAATCATATCATACCATGTTGGGTTGAAATTACTCACTCTATCAACAAATCGTGTTGATATGAACCCTTTTTTCAAACAATAGCTTCTAGATTTAGATTAAAAAATTGATTTATATTAGTGCTGCTTTTGCATTTTTCCCTCCTACCAATTTGTTCCTTTGTTGGGGGGGGGACCGAGCTGAACGTGGAAAATTAAACAAGGCCAATCGGTCATGGTATAATAAGTACCTTGCGGAAAACAACTACGACCATCTAGAAAAGTTTGAGTACACAAAGAAGCCACAACACTTTTACTTGCAAGTTTTTACCTCCAAAGGTGGCAGCAGTCATGGAAGCTCTGAGAATTTCATCTCTTCCATCACTGCAACTCCCCTCCAAATTTGACAAATCCCAACCCAAAAAACTTACTTTCTCTGGTTTTAACCCGCAACTCAGTTCACCCTTTTCACTGTTTCAAAGAACTGCATCATCAGCATGCAAGACTTTCAACGCCGCCGTACAATCCTTTTCGACCGAGCCTGCTAACCCACCCGACTTATCACTCGAGAACCCGACCCAAGAGGAGAAATTCGACTGGTACGCCCAATGGTATCCTCTGATGCCCGTTTGTGATCTAGATAAGAGGGTCCCACATGGAAAGAAGGTTTTGGGGATAGACGTGGTGGTGTGGTGGGACCGGAACGAGAGTGCTTGGAAGGTTTTCGATGATGCTTGTCCGCACAGGTTGGCGCCGTTGTCGGAAGGGAGGATTGATCAGTGGGGCAGATTGCAGTGTGTCTATCATGGTTGGTGTTTTAATGGCTCCGGTGACTGCAAGTTCATCCCTCAAGCACCAACTGATGGCCCTCCGGTAAATAATTCTTGAACGAAATCCTTCACCTTCATGCAAGTAATACACACACGCAACGCGCGCGCGCACACACACACACACACACATATATATATAGCTACTTATGGTTACGGTAAACCTTCATACAAGTTAATCAGATAGACTGCTAGAGATGCCACATAATACCATAGTTTTGAATAGAAGTATGATTTTGGTTTCTCTAGTTTCGGGCGAAGTTCCTCTTTGATTTCTGTAGTTTCAGTTGCGATCTGACGTTTTTGTGTTGTAGCTTACTAATTGTTGCAGTTCAAGGACAATGGCTTAATTATGTTAATCCATCTAATTCCTCAACTATGACAATTTGGCAGTTGAAATTCATTTATTATTTCACCATACATCAAATCTAGTGAGTTACTTATCACCCAATCCTTGAGACGAACTGTGGCCTTAGTAATAGTAATAGTATCCAAGTTTGAATCGAAACTCCTATGGTTGTTCTTCTTGCAGAAATGGTTCTATGGCAATAAACTACATGCTGTGCATGATTTGTAGTTTAAATAAGATGAATAGGGATGACGCTTTCACCTTAATATGCAGATTCACACGAATAAAAAAGCGTGTATAGCTGCTTATCCAACAACGGTGCAGAATGGCATTGTGTGGTTTTGGCCAAATTCCGATCCTCAATACAAAGATGTTCTTGCAGATAAAAAACCTCCCTACATACCTGAACTAGATGATCCATCGTATAGTGGTCCAATGGGAAACAGAGAGATTCCTTACGGGTATGTAAAGATATATTTTTTCAACTAGTTCCGATATGAAACTATTTCTCTACTGAGTAAGAAACCTTGTGAATGTGCATCCAGGTCTTATTTCCTCTTTCATGTCGAAGAATTTTTAGGTGTATCGATATGTAATATCGATTATTCTTATGTGACTAATTGATTCGAGAAAGCTTTGGTATGGGGAATTTTCATTTTTCAGCTTTTCCTCTTTTTAACTTTGCTTGTTATCTTTATTGCAATTCCAGGTATGAGGTCTTGATTGAAAATCTTATGGACCCTGCTCATGTTCCATATGCACATTATGGAATATTATTGCAACCAGAAAAACCCAAAGGCAAATACTAGTTTATGCATCGCTTTCATTAAGTTAATTTCGCTTTGTGTAGGAGGTTCAGGATGATTTACATTTCATTTCTTTACAGTGAAAGCTGATAGAGAAGGAGGTAAACCATTGGATTTGAGTGTTCAGAAGTTAGACGTAAATGGTTTCATCGCAAAGCAGGAATGGGGTCGAAGTAAATTTTTGTCACCATGTGTGTTCTACGTTTCTCCTCTTGATCCGCTTGAGCAGGGTGATGTGGCTGCATCATCATCTGAAACCAAAAGGGTAGAACATTCTATTTTTTGTTCCAATCCTTTAGCTTTTTATCCTTTTGTACATCTGTTTATGTGTCTGGTGATTTGTGTAGGTGCCATCAGCCCAGGGGCCACTTGTTGTAGTTTTTATTTGCATCCCAGTTAGTCCGGGTAATAGCAGGCTGATATGGACCTTCCCAGGAAACTTCGGCATATGGATTGACAGGATTGTTCCGCGGTGGATGTTTCATATTGGACACAATCTGGTTCTGGACTCCGATTTATGTCTTCTTCATGTTGAGGTGACTTTTAACTCTTGATAGTAGGTTTAGAAATTATCTTGCTTTTCACTTGCTGAATGTGTAAGACACTACTTTTTCGGTTGAGGGTTTTCCTCTGAACAATAAGAAAAATATTCGAACGAGTTAAAATATGCAGCTGCATGACCACGGAATAAAAGTCTTAGGTCGAATCTTTTATCGCAGTTATTCTTGCCTGACACCTGAGTTCTTTGTACAGGAACGTAAGATAATGGAAGCCGGCCCTGCCCAGTGGCAGAAAGCATGTTTTGTGCCAACAAAGTCAGATGCCCTTGTGGTTGGTTTCAGAAAATGGTTAAACAAGTATGCTGGCGGTCAGGTAGATTGGAGAGGCAAGTTCAGTGGGGCTCTTCCCCCCTCTCCTCCTAGAGAACAGTTGCTGGATAGGTAACTTTCACATAGTTTATGAAGCAGGACTTAAACAACAATTTGATTACTTAGTTTCAGAAAATTAGAGCAGTTTTTACTCCTTTCCTGGAAATAACTTCAAGCATCTCTCAGTTTGTTCTTCGAATCTTCAGCCATTAATAGATATAGAATTTTCCGGCACACATTAAAAAATTTGGGTTTATTAGTTGAAATGCAAGCATTTGCCTTACCAGGTTGTGTTGTGGCCTTGAGAACCAAGTTAGAGTGTGTTAAAACTTAAAGTCGTATATTGTTGAATCATCATCGATGGGTTTTTGCACAACCCTTTCAGGTACTGGTCCCATGTGGTGAACTGCAGCAGTTGCAGCGCCGGATACAAAGGTCTGAAAGTGCTTGAAGTTGTTTTGCAGGTCGTCGCTCTTTCTTTAGTTGGAATTGTTGCAGCAACCAAGCAGGCTGCCATATCGGTGGCTGCAAGAACTATGCTCGTTGCAGCTGCTATACTGTCATTCGCAGCTTCAAAATGGTTGGCTCATTTTATCTACAAACAGTTTCACTTTCATGACTACAACCATGCTCTTCGGTGATCTGGTTAAGCTTTGCTCACTGCGCATAAGGCGTTTGGGGTTAGCTATGTTTTTTTATAACCACTTCTGCTATGTTGTGAGAATAAATAACTTAAGAAAAACATGAAAGTGTTCGGTAAACTCATAAAAGTGCTTTAGTTAAAATAAAATAAAATAAAATAAAAAAATAAAAAAAAAAAAAAAAAAAAAAACATGTATCAAGAATGTTTGGTAAACTTTTATATAAAACTATTGAGTGTGTAAGATAATAAAAAATGACATGTTGGATGATCATTAATTTAATTAAGTAGTTAAAAACTCAAAATATTGGTCAATTCCAATTTAATCTGTCTTACTTTACCTAGCCCCTGTTCTAAATAATTATCATGGAAAAAAAAATTTATAATATTGAAATAAGGTAGTTAAAATAGGATAGTACTATCCACACACTTATTTTGATCTCTCAAACATTTTTGTTAATTTTTGTCATTGATATTCTTCAATTCATTCAATTCGACACCCGAAAATTGAGAGGTGTGTGTAAGAAGTAAAAATGGTGTGTGGATAATTTTACCCCTTAAGAATGAGGATCCCGGGGATGCTCTAATCGTGTCCATTTATTGTATATCGTACGGTCATAAATCATTGTAAATTCTTTTATTTAAAATTGAATATAAATAGTACTTGACGAAAACTAGCCGCACAACGTACGATAAACGGACACGATTGGAGGATCCCCAGGATCCTCATAAAGAGAATCCAGTGAGGATCCTCATCCACCCCTTAAAATACCATCGAATATATAATAATAGTGTTGTCATTCTCGGGTTAACTGAAATACCATTAACTATATCGTACATACTTCAAAGAGAATAAATATGTACAAGTTCAATATAAAAATAGTTTAATTAGATGCATTCGTCAAACTAGTGACTATGCTATTTCTTAATGCTTCCATCTATCTTTGATCATGGTGATTTAAGTCGTCATCTTCTTCTTCGTTACTATAGCTCTCTTTACTAAAACCTTCAGAGTCATCAAAATGCCTATCTTGTATGGAACGTCTCTCCTATCATGTTAGAATGCTTCTTTATATAGTTACGAAGAGTCATTGTGGCAATGCACAATTGATATGTAACATGAAACCAAAATAAGAAAATTGAAAGAACAAACAATGATTAACCCAAACAAAGCAACAGAACTTAGGATTAATTAGGTGGAGCAACGAAAAAAGAAAAGGTTTGGCTCTTCTAGTGTGTTTCTGAAGAAGGTGGGGATTTTCCTCACAGTTTCTTCGGCTGTTTACCATGTGGGCTAATCACTATAATTATTTTATCAACAATACTTGACTACTCAAAGATAAATAGAAACGCATACTCAAAATTTCTCAAAATTGTTCATTATTAATTTATAGAACTTAGTGTTTATAATCAAAACCGTTCATATTATAAATCATCCTATAAAGATCACCTTTGCAAAAAATCAATTAAAATTAAGATTGTTTAATCATCAAACTGTTTAAAAACAAATGAATGATATTTGTAAAGGCATTACGAACCATCTATGTAATTGCTATAATAGATTGACTCAACGACCTTAGTTTTAATTTATTTTTTCCAGAGATAATCTTTACAATGAGATTTATAGTATGAACAGTTCTTATTATAAGCACAAAGCTCTATAATTAAAATATTAAGAGTTTTGAGTATGAATTCCTATTCACCTTTGAATATCCAAGCATTGTTGTTATTTTACCGTCCTCATCTGTGATACACCGAATACCAGGCCAGAAATGCACAGAGGATACTTTGGGTAGTCCAGAGATGTGTAAGAATCCAAAAATGTAGACTCTCAAGTCTCACTTTTAAATGATGCCTTGAGTTATTACAGTTGATAGTGAGCTGCAACCCATTTGTTTATGTTAAATTTCAATTTTTCTTCAATAGTCAGACATATTAGTAATGTAGAAAATAGACGATGAAAATTGAAAGGAATAAATACTATTTTAATTAACTTGTCAATTTTATGGATAAATTGTCAGACTATCCAGTAGTCCAAACTACTGAACATGAACTTGCTGAATTCGTGGCCGATAGTGATGATGAATCTCCTTGACGATGAGTAAAAGCAATCATTGAGAGGGCTATGTTTTTATATAAATATGGTGTGACATTGATCATTTAAAAATAATTTTTTACATGACAATAATTTTGAACAATACTATGTTTAACCTTTTCGGTTGAAAATGATCTAATGTGAAATCCATGGTCATGTTAATGTTTGTGTTCCATATCTATGGAGGGGAGATTATGATACCCCGAATCTCACATCGGAATTGCGTGGGAAGATCTTGGGGAGTCGAGTGATGTTTAGTACCTGAGAACTCAACTTCAGCTAGCACTTTTTTGAACGAGTTCTTGCACGGTTTTACAAGCTCGTGGTTAAGGCCCAAAGAAAAAGTTGGTCGAAATTTTAGGCCCTCTCAAATCCATGCATCCAAAGGGCCCTAACAAAAGTATTGAGCCCTACTAAACGACTGACGTGGGCAAATGCAAGCAGTGCAAGTCAAACAGTCAAAGACAAGCCAGCGGCCAGCTAGCCGAAACCTCCTTCCGTCCCTTGCAGCTGAAGCTCCCTAAGTCCAACACTCCTCCGCTTCTACACTCCAAATCTGTCTCGCACGACATTAACATCCAACCCACCGTCCTCAAAACAAAAGTAAACAAAAACAACCACTCCAGTAAAACTAAAAGTCTCACACTTTGGTCTCTCTGTGCAGATCTCATCAATCGATCACCTGTAAGTAAATCCCTAACTCCGAATCTCTGTTTTCCTTTCCCCATCCCATTTTCTTCCACTTTCTCTCAAAACCCACCATTTTTTTCATGTATTCATAAGATCTTATCAGTTTTCCCACCTGGGTTTTCTCGAAAACTCATGAAAGAATCGAATCCGACCACCGAGCCCATCGGGCAAAACATCATCAAACTCATCAGCAATCTCTGTTTCTCATGTTTTTGTATTTTCGGTGCTTATAATTACTGTAATTGCCATCACCTACCAACCCCCAGATCCGTGGCTGGAGTCAGCTCCGGCCTTAACAAAACTCTTCACCGCTTCCGAGAACGCCACTTTCAAAAATGACGACTCTGTCCTCAAAACCGGCGAGGATTTACCTCTTTCCCCCGCCGTTCCTGCGGCTTCTTCGGGTTTTGCAATCACGGAGGCTGTGATTGCGAAAGCCGAAGCCGAGGTCTCCAGTTCGACCAATTCGACCGTGTCGGACGGGTTGAATTGTGAGGATTTGGAGAGAGTGAATTGCTCTGACCCACGGGCTTTGATTGCGGTAGAGAGATTTAATTTGAGGTTGTTTAAGAACATTGTCTTCTTGGAGTATCAGACGCCTGTTAATGGGTCGAAAGAGGATGAATGTGACGTGTTGTGGAAATTTAGGAACAAAAAGGAGAAGTCTTGGAGGAAGTATAGGGATTTTAGGAGGTTTAAGCTCGGATTCGGAGTGAATTGTACTTATAAGGTGGTGCACGCCAGAGGGTGGCATTCAGGTATTAATGCAAGGAGGGCGAGGATGATTAGTAGCAATGGCACCAGGGGTGGTGGGAATGCTAAAATCGCCCCACCAGTTCGTGATGAACAGATCAATGATACAATCCCTAGCTTGGGATCGGATAGGAATTTTAGGAGGGGGAGGTACTTGTACTATTCGCGTGGAGGGGATTATTGCAAGGGGATGAATCAGTTCCAATGGAGTTTCTTGTGTGGTTTAGGTGAGGCTATGTATTTGAACAGGACGTTTGTGATGGATTTGAGTGTCTGCTTGGCGGGGAGTTATACTGCGAGTAATAAAGATGAGGAGGAGAAAGATTTTCGGTATTACTTTGATTATGAACATCTGAAGGAAACTGCCTCAATTGTGGATGAGGTTGAATTTCTGCAGGATTGGAAGAAGTGGGATCGGAGCCATAAGAGGAAAGTGCCCGTTAAGAAGGTTGCGAGCCATAAGGTGACCCCAATGCAGCTCAAGAAAGAGAGGAGCACGATTATATGGAGGCAGTTTGATGGTCCGGAGCCAGAGAACTACTGGTACAGGGTATGCGAAGGACAGGCTGCTAAGTACGTTCAGAGGCCGTGGCATGCCCTGTGGAAATCAAAGAGATTGATGAATATTGTTACAGAGATAAGTGGGAAAATGGACTGGGATTTTGATGCTGTTCATGTTGTGCGAGGAGAGAAGGCACAGAATAAGGAGCTTTGGCCTCACCTCGATCATGATACATCCCCCGACATGCTTCTTGAGAAGGTTAAGACGATGGTGCAGCCTTGGAGGAATCTTTATATAGCCACCAATGAACCGTTCTACTAATTACTTTGATAAACTGAGGTCACAGTACAAGGTTCATTTGCTTGATGACTACAAAGAACTTTGGAGTAACACAAGTGAATGGTACAATGAGACTAGCATTTTAAACAACGGACGACCAGTTGACTTCGATGGATACATGAGGGTTGAAGTGGATACTGAGGTTCTTTACAGGGCAAAGACGCGTGTGGAAACATTCTATAATTTGACGGCAGATTGCAAGGACGGAATCAACACATGCTGACCCAGGTTGGAGAAACATATAGTTCCTTATTCCCTATTTTGATTCACTTTTCGAATGATACAGTTGAATTCGTGTGAGGCTTATTGCTGTTATTTGCTTGTTCTTTTATTGTATTGGATGTTGGCAATTCATATTGATCATCAAAGGCTATATATGTTGTATTATTGATCACATCAAAGCCTATATCAGTTTTATCTCTTACAAGTTGTAGTCAATTCCATTGAGCGAAATTTGAATTGAAAAGTTGAGTCAAAGGTCTAGATCGATGCAGCACATTTAGATTTACATTTCAACCTGCAGATAATTTGAAACTTTTTGCATCGGTTTAACTCCAAAATTCCTCATGTAGCCATATCGTTCCTTAAAGTCGCCTTTGGTGTTCTTAGTTTTACAGAATGCTTAAACAGTTTATAGGTTTTATGCATATGGGAATGAAGAATTATGTCTTAAGAGGCACATTTGTTATTTCATCTGGAAGGAAATACCATATCAATTGTATCAATTACATCCACAATCTCAAGACGCAAATTAAACTATAGAAAATCAAATGTAATTAAATTCAATCCTTGCTTTCATCTAAAACAAACCATTTGCATGGTTCTCCTCCACATTCCAGTTTTGGGTTGGAGCCACTTGATTATGCAAAGGTATGTATTCCTGCAGAAAAAAGAAAAAGAAAACATGAACTGCCTTCAAAGCAGAAATGATGTAAAGCTAAGAGCATCTCCAATGCTTGTCCTCAATGGTGTTTCCACGTTGAAGTAATTTCGGGAATGCTGTTGTAAGGGCAAAAAGTGCTTGCCAGATAACCAAAAGTGCTTATGGTTTCTAAAAGCAGTTTTTGATGCTGGACAAGGAAACACCAACTAGAAAGCACTTCAGATAGCAAATATTTTGTTGAACTTTTACTAGAAGCGTCTATGAGTAGAAGTACTTTCTAAAATGGGAATTTGACATGGAATAGTATGAAAGGTGAGAGTGATACCAGTACCTCCATCTTCTGTATCAGCTCTGTAGCAGTTTTTGCAGATATGACAATATTCCTAGAAGATAAATTGATAAACCCCTCTTCCACACCTTTGTCAAACAGACGAAGCAAGCAATCATAATACCCATCAATGTTCAAGAGACCCACCTGATTTTTGCAGACAAAAATATATGTTAATGTCAAGGCTACAAATTCATAAATGACATAAATTTGGTGGGTTATTATTGAAAAAGGTGAAATGTCCTTTTCCTAGTGCAAGGGCATGCTAATAAGGATTTGTCAAGGAAAGAGTAGGGCTCAATCACATTATATATGGGCCTAAAAATGGTTGCCAAGTTTTATTCATGGCCATCCTTATCACATATCCATGGCTATCAAGCTGAAAGCAAGATCTGACTTATAACCAAATAGAGCTAAATACTTGCTAGCTAATTTGAATGGATGGCAACTAAGAAGAGGAGTGCTAAGGTCAGCTGCGCATTGGCGCGCGAGCAATTTTTGACCTTACAACACATTTAGATCTCATAGTGAGGATAGTGAGGTTGATATGTATATATGATTATAAACTGTATATACATTTAATATGACAGATCGTAGCAAGATTCATTAAGAAATTAAAAGTTCTATTATCAATTTTTAAAGAATCTATTGTCTTATCACAAATGATGGATCTACAATCAAGATCACATAATTAGATCACGAATATGTGAACTTATTCAGCAACTGTCACCTAAGACCCAGTTCCCTCCATTGCATAGAATGTGCAATGATATTTTCCCTTCCAAATTAATAGGTTATTTCACGTGCACGCCATCGAACAAGAAGCTGAGGAGAGCTAGATGAATGTGTAGGGTGGAGTTCTTAGGACCTAGGATGGACCCTTTTTATAATCATTTCAAATGAAAAGCTTATATATACCAAGAAGTTTTTAGTTTTGATGAACTTTCACATGTAGCAGTAATTATCACAAGAACGAAAAACAATGATATGAAAAACATGTTTGACTAATAATACCACTATAGGTGTGATTGTACACGTCCAAGATTTACCTTAACACATTATATTCGATGAATAAATATGTCATGTGGTCTTCTTTTCCGCAAAAAGAAAAAACCAAGTGAATTCTATTTTCTTTTTTTTCTTTTTTTTAACAAATTTCATAAAAAAAATTCCACAAACATGTGAGAAATTATAGGATAATGATTATTCCCTTCCCCTTAGTAATATCGTTTGTTTTTTTAAAAAAAAAAAAGAAAAATTATAGATTAAATTTTGTAAACTAAATGACATGGAAATTGATAATTGGATTATTACTTAAAAGTTGATAATCGTGTTATTCTTATTGATGACGCATCATTTAGTTTGCAAAACTTGTCTACAAAGATTTTCCAGGGTGCCAGGAACACAATCCGGTACACTAAGCGTTATAATACAAGTGGTTGGAAACTTAAAAAAATAAAAAATAAAAAAAATAAAAAAAACTTCTAACCACTTATACTATGAAACTTAGTATAACGGGCTGTAATCGCGGCACATTGAAAGGTTTCTAGAAAGAGTGGAGTGGGGAGGAATCTTATTGTTTCTTACAATCATTTTGTTGTGGAAAATTTGTACGAATTATTTAAATTTTCCAAATAACTGAGTAAACAATATTATCATTAAGGATGCCTATAGTTTAGGGTTATGCATGCCTCCTCACCCTATAGTTCATGCAATCAAATTATATATGCTAAGTCCAATAATTCTAATTAGGTTATTAGCTAGCTAGTTAATTAGTTAATCCCAACAAAAATTGACAACTGAAAATAAAATTAACATGCAATTGTTGATACAATATGTATATATAGTAATATACTACTTACTGGTTTATGATGGATTCCAAGCTGAGACCATGTTATCATCTCAAGCAACTCTTCCATGGTTCCATACCCACCTATAGTAATTCGCAGTCAAGCCAGGCAAATATAGAATTAATTAACAATGAAAATGCATGATACATACATGCATGCAGCTTAATTAATTAACAATTAACTATCATCAGAAGTTTTTATACATACTCTGATATTTGTAACTTTAGTTAATTTGTTTTGCTGGTTAATTAATTCAAATTAATACTGTAATTAAGGAAGCATATGAAACATGTGTGTGTGTGTATATATATATACCAGGCAATGCAATGAAAGCATCAGCTCGACGTGCCATCTCAGCCTTTCTTTCATGCATATCCGATACAACCAATACTTCTCCTACTGAATTACCTGATATCTAAATAACATTCAATCACAACACAAAACAAATACTCATGAGTAAGCATTTATATGTGTGCAGAATACACAGAGAGAGAGAGAGAGAGAGAGAGTAGAGAACCTCAAGGGGAATTAGGACTGTTGGGATTACTCTAGCCAAAGCAAAAACAAGAATATTAATCACTTGATTAATTAACTAAAGATTCGAAAATCATATTAGCTAAGAATATATATCTTCAAAATCCAAAGTTTTCTATTTTTATAATATTCGTGCTCATTGATTAGTCTTATCTTACCCAAGAACATGACATCCGCCATCATAAACTGTTTGAGAAACCAACCCCATCAACCCTACACTTCCTCCTCCATACACCAAATCCATCTTCCTCTCCACCTGCAAAATTAATCGATTAACTAAGAACCCTTGCAATTAAAACCCTCAAATTCATCAAGCAAATTCAATAATTAAACAAAACAAATCAATTTATTAATTAACCAGTGTGTTTTATTTTATATATATATATAGGTTAGAAGTACCAACCAGTTCTTTCCCAAGTTGAAGAGCTGCATCACTGAATATCTTTCTGTGCCCTGAATTACTTCCACAAAATACACACATCCTTTTGAACTTACCCATCAATTGCATGTTTCTGCTGAATATGTCGCAGACCCTCTAATATTAAGATGTCTCCCTATATACACACACCCATATATATACTCGATTTAACAATTCTTTGTACTGTAGAACTTGCATGACACGTGAGAGGTGATGCTATATATGTATGTATGTATGCATGCATGCATGCATGTATGTATGTATGAGGTCCCACGTATATGAAAATAATGCAAGTATTTATCAATTTTCAGTCAAACAAGATTCTGCCTTTCTTTCAGTCACTTGTATTCTATATCTCATTTGTGTTTGGTGGGTGCACCAATAATATATATACCCTTCTCGATCTGCACCTTCATTAATTTTTAGATTTTGATCAAAGTCCTTTGACTTTGTACACATCAACATATTAGCATTAATCAATTTCCATGTCAAGTATTTTACATTTTTAATTAAACATTATATTAAATATTGTAATATAGACATCCTTTAAAGTAATTTTTTTTGTCCGAACATTTAAAACAATTAAATAAAATAAATTACCATATTTATGGGATATAAAATCCCATAATATTTGAACTTTAACGTTTATGGGATCAAACAACAAACTCCACCATTAGAAAAGAATTGTTTTTTTTATTGAACGTCATGATAAAAGATAAATGCTCCTATAAGAATGTACCCATGTACAATTATAGTAATTCACAAGAATGTATCCATAAACAATTTCAACATTAAAACCCATATGTAACAAAAACAAGAAAAACAATGTGCCCATATAAATTCTTAATGTAAAAAATAATTAAAGGATAGAAAAATGGAAGCAAACCATAAGACCAAATTACTTAAGGGTACATACTATATAAATCTTATAGGAAAAAGTTATACATATATGGGTACAAAAAAAATAAAAAGGTATAATGGTAGTATATAATAAAAGTTGGGTACATGGATTAAGGAACAAGAGAAGAGAATGTATCCAATGAAATTAAAATTGCATTCAGAGCAATATAAATGTTCATTTGTTACGATTTTGCAATATGATGGTCCTAGAGAAAAAATAAGTTTGAAATTTTTTTGGTGAAATTTAAATTTGAAGATACATATTCAATATAATAATGTTGAATTTGAATACAAGCATAAATTTGAGTGAGAAAATTTTGGGATTTTCAATTACAAACGTGATAATGTGGGAGAAATTATAAATTAAAATTTGTTGTAAAAAAAATAAAAAGATGACATGGAAGTATTTTATAGTAAAATGATGAGGTGTACAAAGTCAAGAAGTCAAGGGACTTTGATCAAAAACTGAAAACCAATAAAGTTTCATTCTATAAACATTGGTGACTAGGGATTGGATCCTAATTTTTCCTAGAATTTATGTAGAGGAGATTCATCGCTTACTTTGATTTGGAAAAATCTTATTTGATCAACTAATTAAGCTCTTTTATTGTATTCAAATGCCAAATATATTGGAAGAGGTTTCAATTTATAAATCTCACTCCTAATTGAAGAGGAGAGAGGGGGGGGGGGGTGGAGAACAAAAAAAACTAATGAAAAGTCCAAAAAAAACTTTAGTTTTAATGAAGAATGACAAATAAAGGTGTACTGAATAGTATAAAAAAAAAGTTAAAAATATGATTTTTCGTTAAAAATGAACAGTACCAGAAATGTTTTGTACCTTTCTCTGCCAATATCGCTTAAATAAATAATGAAAATAAAAACAAAATTACATTTTGATATGATATTGTCTTGTGGCAGACCTATCTAGTGGCTAAAAACGTATTGACTCAATCGTACTAATTAGTTTAAATGGTATACTTTAAAATATCCTTTAATTTTTCAACATATATATAGAGTATTGTTATTTACACGTTCATTTTTACTTCCCACACTCTTGTTAATTGTTGTCTAATTTTCTTCAATTCGTTCGATCGAATGGCCAAAAATTAAGAAAAATGCGTAAAAGATAAAAATGGATATGCGAATAGTACCCTCCTATATATACATACATAGCAAAATTTAGGGAAATTCTCGTAAGCATGCATGCACTTTTAGCACATTGACTGCCTAATCATAAGCAGTCGTATCAATATGTCATATTGCTGGTTACTCCTTTTGGTTTAATTATGACCACGCTTCAATCCTATTTGATAATCTTGATGATTAATATGGTGCTTAATCCCGTTGTATAATTTGCTATGCATGATTCTCAAAAGTTTTATATGTTGATATAGTCATTTTTCTTCAATTCAAGCTAATATATATAGCAAAAATGAAACTTTTGACGTAGATGTAGATAGCAAGTTATATCAACCGCGACGTCATAATTAGGGATGGGCACAAGTTGGGCCGGGCCCAATTTTAAAAGGATCAGACCAGACTCGAGTTTAAAAGAAACGAGACAGGCCTGGGTGGGTACAAGAAATTCTAATACGAGAATCGAACCTAACTCGGCTCGTTTGAAACAGGCCAGTTCGGGTTGAGTCCACGGGTCTTTTTTTTTTTTCTTTTTTTTTTTTTCTCTTTTCTTCTTTAGCTCTCTCAAATCTCGATCATTCCAGGAGATGTTGGACCACCACCTTCTCCACGAAGGGTCTTCAACAAAAAGGCCGTCCCTTCCGCTCTCGTCTTCAAGCATAGATACTTCGTGTCGCCAACAAGATCTCTGACGAATTTAATCATCGAAAATATGATGTCATCTCGCCGGAGACAAGAGAGAGTAGAGATGATGGAGGGCGAAAGAGGCGTCTCGTTCCCTGTCGTCTTCTCATATGATGAGACCGAAACCGATATCGGTGACCTCGTCGTTTACCCAAAGCTTGATTTCCCGCGGTTCCTGTTGGTTCTAAGCCACAAGATCAAAATCTTGCTGAGGCAGTTCACTGTTTTTCTATCCTCGTCGGAGACCAGCCAGTGAATCCCCATCACTGGCAAGGTCAACTTCAAGTGACACGATTTCCCCCGAGAAGAACTGATGCTTCCTCATGGAGCTCAAGCGGTCAAGGCAACGGAAGAATCACAATTACCAGGTCCGCCACCACTAAGACTTCCAAGAAGACGAGTGCTAATTTCTGAGATATGGACTCATTCGAGTTGGATTGGGTGCGTAAAAGAGCAGGAATGTGGAATGTGGATTGTGGATTGTGGGATTTAATCAATGGTGGAGATTAAATCTCCACATATTGGACGGTAGATACGGTCTGGCCGGGGCCCAATTTGGACCCGCCCCGCAAGTAACATAGAACGGTCCCACCCCACCCTATTTTAGATTTATAAAAATTAGACCCGCTCTGTACCCACCTTGACCCGCTTCTACATGCCCCTACCCGTGGATCCAAGACCCGTTTGCCCACCTCTAGTCATAATAGCAGGTTATTCAATCCATATATAAGTTTTTTTCATGAATCTATAAGAACCGCATATAGCTCCCTGTGCTTGGAACACTTGCCAACTTTTTACTTTGAATATCTTATGCTAAATGATAAATATTGGTGCACCCTTGGGCCTTGACCATCCATGATTTAATTATGATAGGCATGATACTAAAATGGGGTTTGTAGACATCAAAATTTCGGTGAAATGAATGTTGACCAATAATTAAAATTTCAACACTCACGTATCACATAAATTTTACATGTAGCGTGTGCCTCAACGAAAAATCGAAATAAATTGGAAAAGTCATCAAATATGACACGTGTCAATACCTGGCAGAAATGATTTATTTCATCTGATTATTTAAATCCAAAAATCAAGTTTTGGAATTCTATAAATAGGAGGCCAAAGGCATTCATTTTGGGGGGGAAGAAGGAAGGAGAAGAAGGGAGGAAGGAAGAAAGAAAGAAGCCTTGAAACTCTAAAGCTCTCAAGCAAATCCCGAAGGATCAAGAAAGCGCTCTTCGTTCTTCGTCAAATCAACCTTCAAGATCAAGCCCCAACGGCCCTTGAAGAACTTCCACCAACTCAAGATCAAGCCCCGACGGCCCTTGAGGAAAGTGTTCATCGTTCATCATCCATCAACCTTCAAGATCAAGCCCCAACGGCCCTTGAAGAACTTCCACCAACTCAAGATCAAGCCCCGACGGCCCTTGAGGAAAGTGTTCATCGTTCATCATCCATCAACCTTCAAGATCAAGCCCCAACGGCCCTTGAAGAACTTCCACCAACGCAAGATCAAGCCCTGACGGCCCCTTGAAGAAAGTGTTCATCGTTCATCATCCGTTCATCCTAAGTTCAAGCCCCAACGGCCCTTTGGATCAACAACCTCAACAAATCCACACATCCAATCGTTCTTCAAGATTAAGCCCAAAAGCCCTTGAAGATCCGCTCATCCATCAACCTTCAAGATCAAGCCTCAACGGCCCTTGAAGAACTCCCACTAACTCAAGATCAAGCCCCGACGGCCCCTTGAAGAAAGTGTTCATCATTCATCATCCGTTCATCCTGAGATCAAGCCCCAACGGCCCTTTGGATCAACAACCTCAACAAACTCATACACCCATTCTTCAAGATCAAGCCCAACGCCCCTTGAAGATCCATTCATCAACTGTGCATCCTTAGATCAAGCCCTGACGGCCCTTTGGATCAACAACTCATCCACAAACCCACATCGTACGAAGATAGAATCAGAGGATCAAATTACAAAGAGATTGTAACCCCAAAATCATTAATACAAAATATATATTTTGTACACGTATTCTTGTCTCTTGTTTCAGGAATTTCTCGTGTTCACAAATTTGGCACGCCCGGTGGGATATCTCTACCTCTCATCTCTATCCTCAAATCATCAAAAAACGCAAATGGCATCAAGAAAGGATCAAGCTGTTCCTGCAATCAAAGCAAAGAACAAGAACATCATCGCCGCAACTGGTGATATTTCGGGCATCATAACCCGAAGTAAGGCAAGAGATCTTTTTGCCGCGGCTTCCGCCCCTGCATTAACTCTGTCAAAGGAACAAGAGCACCTGAGGTACGAGCCTGTGATCACCCTAGCCTCGCTAAGGGCATCAAGGGGGGAAAGCCCGAGGAAATACTCAGAGTCCCTACTCTCCGACGCTGATTCGAGCGGCAGTACAACCATGCAAGTCATGACCACTGGAGCAACTTCAATCGAGGAGCAGCTAGCTCAGATGAATGAAGCAATCGCAAAGCTCACACGAACTGTGGAAGAGAAGGACTTGCAGATTGCCGCACTTGTCAACCAACTAGATGCGCTGCCCGACGTGAAAGTGGACCCAATTGTTGGCCTATTAAAGAAAGAAGACGACGAAGAAGAGGAGCCTCCAGCAAAGAAAGTCGAAGAGAAGCTGAAACTAGACCAAGCAACGGCGTCCATGGGATCTCTCTCTATCCAGCAACTACAGGAGATGATTGCAAACACTATCAAGACACAGTACGAAGGAAGCTCGCATGACTCCGTACTGTACTCAAAGCCTTACTCCAAGAAGATTGATGCTTTGAAGATGCCAAGGGGTTATCAGCCCCCAAAATTCATGCAGTTCGATGGAAAAGGCAACCCGAAGCAACATGTCGCCCATTTCATTGAAACTTGCAACAATGCTGGGACAGAGGGAGACTACCTCGTCAAACAGTTCGTGCGTTCGCTGAAAAGTAACGCTTTTGACTGGTACACTGACCTCGAACCTGAGTCTATCAACAGTTGGGACCAGCTAGAAAGGGAATTCCTCAACCGTTTCTACAGCACTCGTCGTACTGTAAGCATGCTAGAGCTGACCAGCACGAAGCAGTGGAAAGATGAACTTGTCGTTGACTACATAAATAGATGGCGTTCTTTAAGTCTGGATTGCAAAGATCGGCTTTCTGAAACCTCTGCCATTGAGATGTGCGTTCAAGGCATGCAGTGGGGACTACACTACATCCTTCAAGGCATCAAACCACGAACATTCGAGGAGCTAGCCACCCGCGCCCATGATATGGAGTTAAGCATCACCCGTCATGGGAAGAAAGAACAGATCGCCGACTACAAGAATGACAAAGTTTTGGGGCCAAAGGTGGATAAGGCTACGTGGAAACCTACCAAGGAAGCAATGGCGGTCAACACAACTCCAGTCAAAATCCCTACACGAAGCAAGGCGATTCAAACCGAAGCTTTTCGTGATCAAGAGATACGTAGACGCACTTTGAAGGAGCTTGAGGAGAAGACTTATCCATTCCTCGACTCTGACGTGGTTGCCATGTTGAAAGACTTGCTTGACAAAAAGGTGATCGACCTCCCTGAGTGCAAACGGCCAGAAGATATGAACCGTACTGACAATCCAAGGTACTGTAAATTCCACCGCTTCATTAGTCATCCGACGGAAAAGTGCTTTGTGCTAAAAGATCTCATCATGAAGTTGGCTCAGAAAGGGATCATCGAGCTAGATCTTAATGATGTGGTGAAGTCAAACTATACCACCGTCACTTCTGGCTCTTTGAACTCAAAATCTTCACCTCAACCGCTGGGGGCATGCTCCAAAACCATGCCAGTCAAGTCAAGTGAAGTTGAAGAATGGACTTATGTCACTCCAAAGAAAATGCACAAGAAACATAGGTCTCCTCCACAAGTTCGCCAATCGGAAAGGGGGCAAAGCAGCTACTGTCAACCTTCAAAGCTACATGAAAGTATTGAGGATGATGAAGTTATGACACAAAGATCGTCCGTTGCCATCACAATGCGCGATTTCTTCCCCAAAGACTTCTTCAATCACTCAGTCAAGACTCCTTGCTATGAAGATTGCAAGGAATGCCCCTCTAAGATCGTTTGACAAATTCAAAAAAAAAAAAAAAAAGCTCCTCGTTCGCACGAGCCTAAAAGGTGACAACCAAGCTCCTCGTTCGCACGAGCCTAAAAGGCGACAACCAAAGCTCCTCGTCCGCACGAGCATAAAAGGCGACAACAAACGCTCCTTGCCTGCACGAGCTAAAAATGCAAACGGCACCAAGACGCTCCTGGCCCGCAAGAGCATAAACTGTGTACGGCAAAATTATCATCAAAACCATCACCCATTTGAACTACGTTATGACTTGATCTCTTCTTTGGAAGAGTACGTAGGCAACTTGAAACTTCAAAACTTCAAGTACAGTCACATCAAAATAAATAAATATATGTTTCATTAAAGAAAGTCAATTTTATTACAAAAGAAAAGAAAAAAAAAATACATATGTTACTATGTATTAAAAAAAAATATATATATATATATATATATATATATTCTCTATTGAAAAAAAAAAAAAAAAAAAAAAAAAAAAAAGTACATACGTTGTTATGTGTTAAAAAAAATAAAAAAAAATAAAAAAATAAAAAAATAAAAAAAAAAAAAACGAAAAATATATATATATATAATATATATATTTCTATATTATATATGTTGAAGTGTCCACTTAAAAGCCGCATGGAGCAAAACAATCTTGGCCAGATTCCACTAGCCCAAATCCGGGCCCAGGCACACCCTCTCTCTCTCTCTCGCACACACTTCACTTTTGGTTCCATTTCTTCACACCAGCGTGAACAACCACCACTGCAGCAGTTCTCTTCTTAGCAGCTGGGCTTACTACTGCCAAGGAAAGAGCATGGAAGAGTTGAGGCAGTCCCTTTTGTACACAACCGTGGAGCTTGAGCAAACAAGAGCAGCAGAAGACAGCCCCAAGGCCTCCAAGACGCTGCAGTGGCTCTAGCACCACCTGCTCAGGCGTCAGCAGCAGCGCCGGCTCCTTGTTCTTTCTCCACCCAGACCCACAAAGAATGCTTGGGAAATCTCCCTCTTCCCTGCTCAGCCGATGGCAGCAGTGTTGATGCAGCACCAACCGTTGACCGAAGTCTCAACCACAATCACAGTCCCCGCCGCGCTCTCGCTCGCCGTCGCCCGCGTCTCGTGCGCCCTACCAGCTCCGATCGAAGCGCGCCGCAGCTAATGGATCCGACAGCAAGGGTGATGCCAACCCGCCATCTGCGAGTCGTCCGCGTGGCATACGCACGTTTTCCGATCTGAATCGGCCGGCAAAGAGCGGGTCCGATAGTGACTCCGATGAAACCCAGAAGTTAAAATTTGAAAAGAATGGGAAGCATGGCAGGTGCAAAGCTTGCTTTGATGAAACGGGCAATGGGGTTTGTGGTACAGAACCTTGGTCCATCTGATCGGCTGTCTGTAATTGCCTTCTCCTCTACAGCCCGCCGGTTTTTTTTCCCCTTCGTCGGACGACCTCTCCAGGAGGCTTGCGGAGCTCAGAGACTCCGCGGCGGCGGCTCTGGCGGAGGCGAAGAACTTGGAGAAGCTATGTCTGGGGAGGTGTAAGATGATTACGGATATGGGTGTTGGGTGTATTGCAGTTGGTTGCAAAAAGCTGAGATTGAGTCATTTGAAATGGTGCCTCCGTGTTACCAACCTGGGGGTCGGATTGCTTGCTGTTAAGTGTAAAGATCTTCGAAGTTTGGATCTTTCGTACTTGCCAATCACAGATAAATGCTTGCCGTCGATCTTCGAGTTACAATATCTTGAAGATTTGGTTCTAGAAGGATGCTTCGGCATCGACGATGACAGCCTTTCTACCTTCAAACATGGGTGTAAGTCGCTTAAGAAACTTGAGATATCTAGCTGTCAGGACATTAGTCATGTTGGGTTGTCCGTCCTAGCGAGCTGTAGTGAAGGATGTTTAGAGCAACTCGTATTGTCATATGGCTCTCCTGTGACTCTTGCTCTTGCTGATAGTTTGGAAAAGCTTCCAACGTTGCAGTCAATCAAATTAGACGGTTGCCTGGTTACCTGTGCTGGACTAAAATCCATTGGAAACTGGTGTGTTTCGCTAAGGGGCGACAGATGGGAACTCACTACTACCTGTGCTCAGTGGCTGTGCTCCTTGCCTGTGCTCAATGGTGATGGTGGAACTCCTTCCTGTGTCTCCTCACGCCTTGCACTACCTCGAGTTCGTTATTCTGGCCACCTTGATCAAAATCAACGAAGAGCTTCATTGACCGCCGTCAAACGACTAGCCGGTCTTCAAACTCGACGCCTTACACTCTGCCTCAAGCTTTGGCTGTTTCTGCACCTCCGCCATGGCTGCTGCCTTTGAATGTGATCAACAAAATCAAAGTTTGTCAACTCACACCCAAAGATCTCATCCGTCTGCTTGCCTCTGCTGCTGCCTTTGAATGTGATTGACAAAAACGAAGTTTGTCAACACACACCCAAAGATCTCATCCGTCTTCTTGCCTCTGCTTCTGTACTTCCACCATGGCTGCTGCCTTTGAATGTGATTGACAAAATCAAAGTTTGTCAACTCACACCCAAAGATCTCCTCCGTCTTCTCTCGGACTCGCCTGGGTTTTCACCCACGAACTCAGTCTTGCAGATGGCCATATAAAGAAAAAAAAAAATGATGATGCGGGGAAGCATCTTTCAAAATAATAATTAAAAAAAAAAAAAAAAAAAAAAAAAAAAAAAAAAAAGTGGTAATGATGATGCTGGGAAGCATCTTTCAAAAGAATGATAAAAAAAAAATAGCAATGATGATGCTTCTGGAACCATGTGAAAAAAAAATATATATATATATATATATTAAAAAGAAAGAAAAAAAAAAAACGATGGTGGTGCTTCTGGCACCATCTGAAATATATATATAAATGAATGGTGGATCAGCGCCACCGAAAGCAAAGAAAAGAATAAAAATTGATGATGGACGGTGGTGTATATGTTTTATCTGTATTTAGCATAATACACTAAATAAAACAAAGCATGTTCATTGATTTTCGAGAAATTACAAATGTGTACAAAAAAAAAAAAAAAAAAAAAAAAAAAAAAAAAAAAAGTTGAAGCTTTCACAAAGGATGTGTACGTGAAGCCCCACTACGTGGCAACACTCTCGGAGCAGAAGACATTGGAGCAAGAGGCATCGGAGATAGAGCATTCGAGGCCTCAATACTTGGCGGAACGCTGGATGACCCAGGAAAGAGGTGCCTCTGGAAGAAAGCTGCAAACCGTTGACGATCATCAAGCTCCTCAAGCTTCCTCTTCATGCCCGACGAATAGTTATTTGCAAGCACATGCAAACTTCTATTCTCGTACTTAAGCTGTTTAATCTCCTGCTTAAGATCTTCCACCTCTGCCATCAATGATTCCACCTGACGGGACCGAGCAAGCAGGCGTTGGCCCATGTTGGACACAGAGCCCGCACACTGAACACTAAGAGCGAGGGACTCTTGAACGGCCAACTCATCGGACCGTCCTGACAGCAGCCTACTATCTTTTGGAGTAAGGAGGTTCCTAGCTACTGTTGTAGCTGTTGTGGCGTCCTGCATCACGGAGTCTTCACCTGTAAGAGGACCGTTAGAAGATAAGAAAGAAGGGCACCATACATTACCTTGAAGCGGCGCAACCGGATCACTGCTGAGACTCAATTCTAAGCTAAGGTTCGATTGGTTAGCCATTTTTCAAAGGTGTTAAAAGAGATGGGCGGATGAAGCTAAAACTCAAAAGGCCGGAGATGATTTTCAGGAATGAGCAACCTTCGAAGTGTGCATGTTAGAGGCGATCAATACCTCTATAAAAACGAAGAGACGCTTGCTCAGAAATCGAAAGGCCACTTGTTCAAAAGTGAAGAGACATCGCTCTGCAAATCTCAAAAGCTGGATTTTCCGGCGTAAGTTAGGCGACGCTTTCTCGGCTTTCCAGAAAACGCGTTCAACTTTGTCAAAAGATTTCCGACAAAGTTGAAAACACGTGGAGGCTGGCGACGTTTTCGCGGCTTTTCAGAGCACGGGTGCCACTTTGTCAAAAGATCACGTGGAGGTCATCATCGCAGCTACACGTCTTTAGCTGACAAGCGCAAAGTTCGGCGACGCTTTCTCTGCTTTTCAGAAAACGCGCGCCATTTTGTCAAAAGAGACGCTCGTGCAGAAATCGAAGAGGCGTCGTTCAGAAATCGAAGAGGCGTTGTTCAGAAATCAAAGAGGCGTATTCAAAGATCGAAGAGTCATCACTATTTCAAAAAGCCGGATTTGCGGGATCAAAACGTTTGTCGACAAGGGTAAAAGAACAGTACCACCACTTGTTATTGGGAAATCCCTATATATGTCGACCTTCATCTTTTATGGCAAGGCAAACCTGCAAACAAGAAAAAAAGCCCAACTCTTCCTCACCTCCGAGAGTACACTCCCAGCAAAACATCTCAAAATACTCAATTTTTTTCTCTTCCCCAAAGATGATACCAGATGCCTGGAGTACAGATGACCCAGGAGGAAACGGTAGATGGAAGCATGTGCTGATTCATTCACCGCTTCTTCAAAAGCAAAAGTATCTCATATCATCAAGGGCGAAAGCAAAGGTATCTCATATCATGCTTTTTCCCTGTCCTTTTCTTTGTCCTTGCTCTTACATGCAGGAAAAGGGGAAATAGAGTTATCAGTCTGAACCTGAAATCAAACTTCCGACCTGGAACTGATTGCCTGGAACCTTTGCCTGGTTGCTTACCTCGCATTGCTCTCGAGTACTCATCGTCGCTGAGAAGTAATGTTTTGAAGCACCATTTAAATGCAAAGGTTGCATTCAACTCCTGCATCAGAGGACGAATACGACACGAGAAGATGCCAAACCTGCATAAGGAAATACCACTTCTGCAAAGGGAGCAAGTAAGACAAGTGAAAATGATACATCAAAGCATGTGGAGACAAGCACAACAAATATATGTGCTGATTCATTCGCTGCTTCTTCAAAAGCAAAGGTATCTTATATCATGCTTTCTCCATGTCCTTTCCTTTGTCCTTGTTATTACTCGCATGGCAAAGTGAAAAGAGCAATCAGACGGCACTTGGAGTCAGTTTTCCGATCTACCCTCTTCAATACGAATTGGGGAAAGATTGAACAAAGAAACAGGTCATCACTTCCACCTCGTGCTTGCCTGCCATGTGTCTGAATCCTGCTACCCAATTCAAGAGTAGCACAAAGGAAAATCAACGGTAGGGGGAGATCAAAAGAATCCTCCAGCCCAGTTCAAGATCAAGCCTCGATGGCCCTTGAAGAAATCACAAGTCCGATTCAAAATCAAGTGTTCACCACCTTTGAATCAAATTCAACTCCAGATCAAAGGAGTAAGTTCAGACCTTCGGAGGAGACCAAAAGAATCCTCCAGCCCAGTTCAAGATTAAGCCTGCGGAAAATCAACGATTGGAGGAAACCAGAAAATCTTCCAGTCAAGCTCAAGATCAAGCCTCGATGGCCCTTGAAGAAATTTCCAGCCCAATTCAAGATCAAGCCTCGACGGCCCTTGGGTTGACATCTACATTAAGGGACTTCAAAACGCATCTTCTACACGTGACAAGCACATGTTTACGACGCGCCTTGAAGTGGGGGCATTTGTAGACATCAAAATTTCGGTGAAATGAATGTTGACCAATAATTAAAATTTCAACACTCACGTATCACATAAATTTTACATGTAGCGTGTGCCTCAACGAAAAATCGAAATAAATTGGAAAAGTCATCAAATATGACACGTGTCAATACCTGGCAGAAATGATTTATTTCATCTGATTATTTAAATCCAAAAATCAAGTTTTGGAATTCTATAAATAGGAGGCCAAAGGCATTCATTTTGGGGGGGAAGAAGGAAGGAGAAGAAGGGAGGAAGGAAGAAAGAAAGAAGCCTTGAAACTCTAAAGCTCTCAAGCAAATCCCGAAGGATCAAGAAAGCGCTCTTCGTTCTTCGTCAAATCAACCTTCAAGATCAAGCCCCAACGGCCCTTGAAGAACTTCCACCAACTCAAGATCAAGCCCCGACGGCCCTTGAGGAAAGTGTTCATCGTTCATCATCCATCAACCTTCAAGATCAAGCCCCAACGGCCCTTGAAGAACTTCCACCAACTCAAGATCAAGCCCCGACGGCCCTTGAGGAAAGTGTTCATCGTTCATCATCCATCAACCTTCAAGATCAAGCCCCAACGGCCCTTGAAGAACTTCCACCAACGCAAGATCAAGCCCTGACGGCCCCTTGAAGAAAGTGTTCATCGTTCATCATCCGTTCATCCTAAGTTCAAGCCCCAACGGCCCTTTGGATCAACAACCTCAACAAATCCACACATCCAATCGTTCTTCAAGATTAAGCCCAAAAGCCCTTGAAGATCCGCTCATCCATCAACCTTCAAGATCAAGCCTCAACGGCCCTTGAAGAACTCCCACTAACTCAAGATCAAGCCCCGACGGCCCCTTGAAGAAAGTGTTCATCATTCATCATCCGTTCATCCTGAGATCAAGCCCCAACGGCCCTTTGGATCAACAACCTCAACAAACTCATACACCCATTCTTCAAGATCAAGCCCAACGCCCCTTGAAGATCCATTCATCAACTGTGCATCCTTAGATCAAGCCCTGACGGCCCTTTGGATCAACAACTCATCCACAAACCCACATCGTACGAAGATAGAATCAGAGGATCAAATTACAAAGAGATTGTAACCCCAAAATCATTAATACAAAATATATATTTTGTACACGTATTCTTGTCTCTTGTTTCAGGAATTTCTCGTGTTCACAGGGTTCAAGCGTGCATTATTTATGATGATTATGTACAAGAGCCCACAACGGATTTAATTAAAATAGAAATCTCTCATGCTTTAATATGGTGCTTCACTAATCATGTTTAGTTGCCTTTGGACTTGGGCAAGTTACCTATAAAGAAATGAAAAACAAAGAACAAAGGCAGGAACAAGAGGCACCAAAAGAATTCACTTTTCTTTGTTAGGGTTGTGGAAGTTGAGAGTTCATCCTTAAACCAATTTAACAATGAAATCGCCATACTCTTTATAAACACGGTTTTTAAATTTCGTGTGGAATAGTTCTTCATATCTTCACAAGTCCGCTGAAGGATTACCGTCATAAGCACGACCCGTGATCAATCTTTCTTAAGATGAGGTTGTCTTACAATTTGTTTTTCTTATTTTTATTAGGTATACCTTCGATATAACCGGTGCAGGAATTCTTTTTTCATATCTCTATCCTCATTCGACACGAATAAGGTCAAAGCTCTAATAATAGTTCGAGAAAGAAAAAGAGAAATTCAAGGTCAAAGCTCTAATAATAGTTCAAGAAAGAAAAAGAGCAATTCGATAGTGAAACAAAAACATGGGCAAATGAACATGTTGGTGAAATGTCTCTGGCTTAATTTTGTCTCTTTTCTCCATTTTATTATGAAGCAATATTGCCGACTTTGTTTCATTTTAATCCTTGAGAATCTGCTACAGATTTAACATAAATCAGCATGCATCTTAGTTTTCACATGGGAATAAACTAATGAAGGAGACAGTAAAAAGCAAGCACAACAGACTAGGATCAATGTTTGTTCCAGCCTAATTTACAATAGCCCGTCATTATTTTGTCAAACCAAATAATTAGTAATTCTAATGATTGATTTATTGTCTGTAGTTTGTATTAATTATATTATTCTGCTGTATCCCATCCCATGAGTCCAAAATGTCATGCTTTAACAGGACAGAAGCAGTAAAAGCCAATGAAGTAAACACAGTATGCATGCATTCTAAACATGATCTTAACTATTCAAGTATTCAAATCATCATAAGGGACTAATCGGGTACTAATTTGAGTGCTAACGAGCATTCATTTTGTTTCTACGAATGACTCTGCATCCTTAAATCATTAACGACAGTTTTCAGGAGCTAATGATCTGACTTATTAAATCTAATTAGCAAAGAATTAATTAACTCTCTCCCAGTTATGTACAAAATTATCCTCTAGCAAACTAATAGGCAACCAAAGTAAAGAGTAAAACCATGTGCAAGTAAATTTAATGAAACCTCATATCATACATCGAGCTAACGAAAATAGATATCTCTCGTGTCTCTGTGTGTGTGAAATTATGACTGTATTTAGCAATTTGTGCATGTAATACCTATAGCAATTAGTCGTCTGCTTATGACAAGTAATATGTGGATGATGTGGACCTCTTTGCTCCAAAACGATGAACCAAAACTAATGCCGGGCCACTGTTGCCTGCATGCTGATAACGGATAGAATAACCCCTCCAGTTCCATATACTACGGTACACAGGAGAAAGAGCGTTAAAAATATGAGTAGTGCTATTCTTACCATGTTTTTATGAGTAATGTTATTCTTACCATGTTTTTATATCACATTTATATACTACCTTATGTGGCATCTGATGTGGATAGCTACATCATTTAAATTAATCAGAATTTAATTTAAATTAAAAACATTTAATAAACCAATAATTAAAAAAAAGTTGGAATTAAATGGTGATTGAGGCGTACAAGGAGTCTTCTCCTTCCTTCCCCGTTCAAGCCTACTTCTTCTCCCGTTTTTTCTTCCACGCTAGTTCTTTTACGCCATTTTCTTTTCACCCCAGTTTTTTTCACTTTAGTATGGACTACCACCCACACCAGTACTTTTGTACCCACCCCCCTACACTACTCACACTAGACGCCTTTTTTTTTCACCCCATAGTACAAAACCCCACCTCTCATCATCGAGTAAAAAAGCTCCACCACCTCTTTCCACCTCTGGTCTCTAAGACACGCACTGATCATGGCCGACCAAGAGTACAAATTTCTCTCACGCATTGCGTAGAATTGAATAGAATTGGTGTCAATGCAAGATTGAAGTAAATTCATGTAAGTAGTGGAAGTTACCTTCGACCCACTTTTGGCAATGGAGTCAAGAACGGTGACGGCCTCCGTGAACTCGCCAGGCTTGCGGATGGAATTCAAGTGAGAGTCTGTGAATTTTGGGAGGGTTTTCTGGAAAAAGAGATTGTGGGCTTGGTTTGTCGTGGTAAGAATTCATATGGGTTGCTGAATTTGGAGGGTACTATAGGTATTGGAGGTGTGAGTAGTGTGAAGTACGTACAAAAGTACAAGAGAGGGTGTGGTAGTCCACACTAACGAGAAAAAAGCTTGGGTGAAAAAAAATGGTGTGAAAGAAGAAACGGAGAAGAAGCAGGATTGAACAGGAAAGGAAGGAGAAGATTCCTCGTATGCCACTATCACCATTTAATTCTAGTTTTTTTTTTTTAATTATTGGTTTATTTAATATTTTTAATTTAAATTAAATTCTGATTAATTTAAATGATGTAACTATTCACATTAAATGTCACATAGGTGGTATATAAATGTGATATAAAAACAGAGAAATGTTATTCTTACCATGTTTTATACCACATTTATATATCATCTTATGTGGCATCTAATGTAGACAATCACATCATTTAAATTAATCAGAATTTAATTTAAATTAAAAATATTAAATAAACCAATAATTAAAAAAAAAGGGAGGTTTAACGAAACACTCCTCATACTGTTCACTTTTAACGAAAATGATATTTTTACTCTAAAAAGTCACTCATGGTATTATTCACTTACAACACCTTTTTGTCTTTTTGACTAAAACTCAAAGTTTTCAAACCATTTTCATTAGTTTTCCCTTAAAAAAAAAAAGAAATAAATGGTGATTGTGGCATACGATGAATCTTTTCCTTCCTTTCCCGTTCAATCCTGCATCTTCTTCCACGCCATTTTTTTCACCCATGTTTTTTTCTCGTTAGTGTGGACTACCACCCTCTCTTGTACTTTTGCACCCACTTCACACTACTCACACCTCCAATACCCATCGTACCTTCCAAATTAAGCAACCCATATGAATTCTTACCACGACAAACCAAACCCACAATCTCCTTTTCCAGAAAAACCCTCTCGAAATTCACAGACTCTCACTTGAATTACCTCCGCAAGAATGGCGAGTTCAAAGAGGCCATCACCGTTCTTGACTTCATTGCCAAAAGTGGGTCGAAGGTAACTTCCACTACTTACATGAATTTAATTCAATCTTGCATTGACACCAATTCTATTCAATTCTACGCAATGCGTGATAGAAATTTGTACTTTTGGTCGGCCATGATCGGTGCGTGTCTTAGAGACCAGAGGTGGAAAGAGGTGGTGGAGCTTTTTTACTTGATGATGAGAGGTGGGGTTTTGTACTCTGGGGTAAAAAAAATAAAAAAATAAAAAAAAATAAAAAAAAACAGGCGTCTGGTGTGAGTAGTGTGGAGTGGGTGCAAAAGTACTGATGTGGGTGATAGTCCACACCAAAGTGAAAAAATCTGGGGTGAAAAAAAATGGCGTAAAAGACGAAACGGGAGAAGAAGCAGGATTGAACAGGGAAGGAAGGAGAAGACTCCTAGTAAGCCACAATCATCATTTAATTCAAACTTTTTTTTAATTATTGGTTTATCAAATGTTTTTAATTTAAATTAAATTTTGATTAATTTAAATAATATGGTTATCCACATCAAATGCCACATAAGGTGGTATATGAATGTGGTACAAAAACATGGTAAGAATAGCATTACTCTATAAATATAATCATAGAAAACACAAATAATTCATATCAATTACAATTCACTTGAAATAAAGGATCAAAGATACAATATAATGGCAACCAAAATTGGAACACTCTTTAAGACCATCTCCAACCAAAGGAGGGCCAGAGGGCTCATTTTAACCTTCTGACCCTCCAAGAAATTAATATTTTAATGAACAGTGCAAGGCTATATTTCTTACCGTCTCCAACCGAGGGTCAGGCCAAACATAGCACTATCACAAAAAACCATCTCCAACCCAGGGCCATAGTGTTAGATCCCACATCGCTCAGGGATGAGGATCATCTATGCCTTATATGTACATGCCCACATCCATATAGCACGAGGCCTTTTGGAAGCTCACTAGCTTCGAAGTTTCGGAACTCTAAAGTTAAGTGAGTTCGCCTGAAAGCAATCTCAGGATGGGTGACCCACTGAGAAGTTTTCGTGTGAGTTCCCAGAAACAAAACCATGATAGCGTGGTTGGGGCCCAAAGCAGACAATATCGTGCTATGGCGGAGTCGAGCCAGGGATGTGGTGGAGCCCGGGTCGGGATGTGACAATTTGGTATCAAAGCCAATCCATGGCCGGAAATGTGCCGATGAGGACGTCGGGCCCCTAAGGGAGGTGGATTGTTAGATCCCACATCACCCAGGGGAGGATCCTCTGTACCTTATATGTACATGCCCACCTCCATATAACACGAGGCCTTTTGGGAGCTCACTGGCTTCGAAGTTCATCGGAACTCTGAAGTTGAGTGAGTTTGTGCGAGAGCAATTCCAAGATGGGTGACCCACTGGGAAGTTCTCGTGTGAGTTCCCAGAAACAAAACCGTGATGGTGTGGTCAGGACCCAAAATGGACAATATCGTGCTACGACGGAGTCGAGCCCGGGATGTGGTGGAGCCCGAGTCGGGATGTGACACATAGGACCAAACATAATTTATTATTTTAATTGAATTACTATGGTTACTTAAATTAAATTACCTCAATAATTTTATAATTTTATGTACAACTCCCTAACTAAATTAAAGTCGTCTACTTCGATGATTTGATCCCCTAAGTTCCGTTTGGTTCCCAAGAAACCGGAAACAAGGACTTCACAATTGCTTCAGATACTCCTACTCTCTAAAACCAAACAGAACCATGAAAAAAACGAATAACAGAAAACTGAAAATATGACACCTGCTTTGAACTTGGACGTC